ATATATATACAAGCTCTAATCCATTCCTATTTTGACTGAGTTTTAGTAATTCCCAAATCATATCTACAACCCCCAATTTTTTTATGGATTCTCTCTTATCCAATGCAATAAACACTAGTACTTAGTTGACTAATTAGAATAGTTAGTTAAAATTGGAAATAAAAAATATGACACATATGCAATTTAAATATTTTAACTTCAAACATTGGCCAGTTTTTTCTTACCTCATTTGAAACCTATGTGACTTCTATGCATAGTCATTTCCTGCTCTTTTATCTTTATACTTTTAATATGTGTCTATTATTATGTTTATTATACTATAATGTCATTATTTCTTTATATGTTCTTCTCCCCTAATAGACTATGTGTTCTGTGAGGGCTGAGTCTGGGTCTTGTCATTCTTCTTTCTAGCATTTGCATAAGGCTTGGCATACAGTAGGTACTCCATGGATGTATATTGAACTAATCTGAATTTGTAACATAATGAGATGGAATCTAATATGATCTCAGAAGCACATTTCCAATATTGATTGGTATTGAGGAAATATTTCTCCATGGCTTTTTTGGGAGTAAAATCTTAGTTTGATTAAAAAAAATTTAAACATGAATCTAATGAACTCATAAAAGGCAAGGATGGATTTAGATGATTGGATATTCAGTTCTGTATACAGAGGAACACTGATGCTCTCTCCTTTTCCTCTCTAGGACATTATTAGACTTCATAATACAGGAGCATTTCCCGTCAGTAAATGTCCAAGAACCTAATAGATACGTGGTAAGTGTTTTCTCTCATTCACCTGCTAACATTAGCGGTTACAACTTTGAACTTAAAAAACTACAGTTAGGAAAGGAAATGTAGAGTGCTGTGAGCACTGTGTTAGAAGAAGATAAGATGAACCACTTCCTAGACAAGATATAGATAATCAAGACACAGGTGCTACTGCATCCTGACGGTATACATTATTTTTGGAGCAGCATTTATAACTTGGTCACATATAATCTTTTCTCACATATTAGCAATATGGCTATTTCTAGAGTTGTAGTTCTAAAATAACCATAATAATATTATACATAATAGGAAAATGGGATTTTTTTTCTTGTGGAAATTTTTCACTCTTCATAACTCTTTTTCATTCTTTTTAACAGTCGCAGAGAAGGAATGCCATTATTTTTCTTGGTGACTCATTTCAAAGTTTAATAACTCAATTCGCTTACATTTAACTCCCTTGTGTTAGGAGTTAAATGTAGCTGAACTCGCGTGTTTTTCTTTTTCTTACTGGACATGGAGAAAGCCTGGTTATAATACTGAGTCTGAGCCTCTTATATATTCTTTCTGGATGAATAATTCCATGCTCTTCCANTACCATTGGACTAAACTCTGGGGGGATCCAGGAATAGTAAGTGTAGATTATAGTCCTGGCCTTGAGAAACTCAGTCTTTGTAGAGAAAAGACTGAAACCCATAAAACAAATGAACCATAAAACATCTGAGGTCAGTAAAATGGGGATCCATTTAGCTTTATGGAGGAACTGAGAATTGATCTTGAGCATAACATTAGGAAGGATTTCAGTACGCAGAGAAGAGGATAGGGGGTATATAGAGCAGGGGGTACTAACATAAAGGCCAGAGGTAGCAGGAAGTCCTTGAGGGACAGCTTCAATGGGGTGGGAGCCTTGGCACTTGGGATAGCCTTCATCTTGACATTTAAACACTTGTAAGTACAGCACTGCTTATAAGAAAGAAACATGAATGGTTAAGAGCTCGCTCAAGAGTTTGAGCTCTGAGCAACAGCGGTTCGAGTCCCAGCCTGAGCTGAGCTGCCAACAGGTGGCAGGATGGCTCAGCTAAAAAAAAAAGAAAAAAGAAACATGAATTCCATTTGTTAATTGTATTACTAATATCTATAATCAATACAGAAGGTGGCGATAAGTCTACAAACCCAAACACAGAATGCATAGATTCACTTTATTTTTTCAATATATTCATAAGTTAGACCGTATACAGACATTTATTTTTAAAGTTAATTTTCAGGTAGTTACACAAATGGAAGGCACTTGTAGGGATTATGCCATTGAAATAATTCACTAATTCCCTATTTCAGGATGAGGTACGGGGAAACAGTCACAGTTGAGGAGATAGGGGGAATCTGATGTTTGGAGCCTCACAGTTTGAACAGTCTTAAAGCTAGGTTGGAGCCTCAGTGTTTCTAAAAGTGTGATTCTTAACATTCTAATTGATTCAGGCTTAAACGCAAAGAGAAAAATTCTCGATCCTTTAAAGGGTATAAATTAGTTGATTTTTCCAATAAATTCAGTTACTGTGTTTTGTTGTATTAAAATAATTTTATTTTTAAGAATAGCATATTATGCTATGATTGCATAGTTTGAAGTAGTTTATGCTAAATTAAATGTTTCTTTTTCAGGTGCAGTAGTGCTGCGTGTTGCAAAATCATGGTTTAGAATTGGATCGTTAGAAATTTTGGCTCATTATGGTGAATTGGATTTACTAAGGTTAGAAAGTGACATTTTAAAAAAATGGTAGAAAGCAATTGAAAAAAATGCTTATTAATGTGTTGGGAAGTTAAAATATTTCTGGTTTCCTTATAAGTAAAACCAAAAATTTCAATTAATAAATATTTTTAACATTTGCTATGTGCCTAACATCTTTTGGGTTTTCCAGGAGGCTAAGAAGCCAAGTATAAGAGGGCCGGCCTATGGCTCAGTTGGTTAAGAGCTCGCTCAAGAGATTGAGCTCTGAGCAACAGTGGCTCGATGCCTGGCCCAAACTGAGCTGCCGCTGAGCTGCCAACAGGTGGCAGGATGGCTCAGCTGAAAAAAAAAAAAAATGAAGTGTAAGACACAGTAGACCCTTTTCTCAAGGATTTTTTGTCTAGTGTGTAACCCAGTTGTAGCTGAGGTTCTCTGTGCCACTCAGA